TTTCTCTAAGCGCTGAGTAAAGTTTGGGAATATAGTGTTTCCGCCAGTTAAAAAGATATTCTGAAAAAACATAAGAAATTTGAGTAAATGTCAAAGAAAAAGGTTTGCGATATATTAAATGGGGGAAAGATGACTGTACTCGAACCCAAGACCTTCAAAATTCTAGTTTCAAAAGCGACTTTTATCCCTGAACTCAGGGACTCGATGCGTACTTGTGAGCCAATGACCACAGTAAGATAGCCTGCGTGGCGGCTCTAGGGGAGGGGGGAAGGGGAAAAACGGAAAGGGGAGGGGGTCGGAGAAGGAGGGGGAAAAACTTGCTACAGATCAGAAGATTGCGAATGTTCAATTGTTTTCATACCAGTCAAATTACACCGGAATAAAAGTCCCTCAGAACTGTTAATACTCGCAAACTAGTTTCTCAGGTTTAAGACCTGTTTCAAGTAGTGATTTAGAAATCCTGTTTAAGTTAGAGCCACATACCTGTACAAGCGAGTTCTGTCTTTCAGGAGAATAGTGTCCCAATACAAAGTCTATAGTGTCAGTGATACCAGCTTGCTCCAGTCCTACCATAGCTGGTTCGAACAGTATCTCAGGGACTCTACAATTTATGTGTTTTTTGTTAGTAAATCAAAATCAATAGAAATAGCATGGACTCCTGATAAACCTCACAATACGTCGAACAACACTCCATACAGTTGTTTGTTATGGAGAGAAAATTAGGAAAACTATGCAGAAGAACGCTAATCACCATTTGTGCTCTTGAAGATCAAAACTCTGAACATCATCGAAAAGCTTTCGAGGCCCCTCCCTCAAAACCAAAGAAAATTCGAACTTCACCGAACAGCTTTCGGGACTCCTCGCTTAAAACCGATGCGACTCGGAATTTACCCGAACTGCTTTCGAGACAACTCCGTCAAAAACGAAGTAGTTCCGAACTTCACCAAACAGCTTTCAAGACTCGTCCTTCAAAACCGAACAGAGTCCGAACTTTACTGTCTATTCATAATAATTTCGTTCAGTTTTTATCCTGCAAGTAGAATCCTCTTTTAGGGATTCTTTAAAACATTTCGGTAAAGTTCAGTGTTTTGATTGACAGAACCCAGGAAAACACAAAATGGCGGTTATCGTTCGACCATTGGAGTTCGGAAATTTACGAAAACTGGTGTACTCTTACCGTATTCTCTCCACTCCAAGATGAAGTTGATGATATTCAGCCAAGTCAACCGGTCCTCCCTTTGACTCTTCGTTCCTGAGAAAGTACATTCTCACATTACTACATGTGACAAAATAGTAGGTGACATCCAACAAGACCAAAATACATTACCTTGCAAACTCCTTGTCGTGTTTTTTGAGCAAATTTTCCAACTCTGTTAACTCTTCTTGCTCTTTTTCGCTGTCTGAGTCACCAGCGTCTTTATTCTAAGAAGACGATTATCATCAAACTATGTCTTTATAAATATATTTTTTAGTATAAAAAGGAAAAGGTTTATGGTACGGAGTCTCTTTAATCCGAACATTAAAAAGCTWTAGGAAKGTCGTTATATYRAGGTGTCCGTAATATAGAGGCCCTTAATACTAATAACGTGATTAAAGTGTCTAGAAAAGCTGTTCGCAATATAGATGTGTTCGTAATATAGAGCTGTCCGTAATATAGAGGTGTTCGTAATGTAGAGCTGTCCGTAATATAGAGGTGTTCGTAATGTAGAGGTGTCTTCAATAACTTACAATGGCCCTGTAAACCATCCAGTCTTCGTCGTTTTGTCCAAACGTGTCTTCCTTTGATTTCTTATGCGATATTCTTGTAGTCCCATCATCTCGGACTAAAAGATTGAAAGTCATTAGACAAAGCGATCTCAATACAGACAGTTCACTTTTTTAGGTTACCACACTCTAAATTTATCTTTAATAGACACCTGAAGCATTTACGCCATGTACTGTATAACGCAATGCATTGTAGGATATGTTAAGGACAAAACATGGCGGATTTCTTTTGTTTCTCAAGAATAGGATCCACAATGCATTGCAAATTACGTTAGTGACGTAAAAGCTTCACTGGTCTATTGTTCCTTCGATTTTTTTAAAAAACAAATTTAATTTTTTTAATTTTTAATTTTTTTTTTTTTAATTTTTTTTTTTAAATTTTTGATGAGAATTTTTCTAACCATTTGGATCGTAAGCAAGTCGGGACAGGATTCTCATACGTTCCATGGATGCATGGCTTCGTCTTGTAGCGAGTTCTTCTCGTCTTTGTCTTCGTTGTTGACGTGCCTCGTAAATTTCCTTAAAAAGCAAAGAAAAAACAA